ATATATATATATATATATAATGGCTATCACTCGTAAAATTAGCATAGATAGTAAAGACAATTTTGATTCTCAGGTATCCTAATTCCGTCATGAGAACTTCAACCTAACTTTGATATGTATATGTTTTGTGTGGTTTAATGGACTTCTTTAATAATAATATGACCACAACATAAGGAAGCCCATTCTGTAAATATTTAGCATAATATAGTACAGAGAATTTCGATTGTTTATCAGTATCATTACACACATATCCAATTTCTACACGCACCGACGGGGAAAGTTTAAACATAAATTTGATATGTACATGTTTCATGTTTTGTGTTGATTGGTCTTATATTACAGTTTAAAATTCATATTACTGTATAACAACTTGGTGATAATATAACTTATTCTTAAAGGAAGCAGAATAATCCAATTCTTTCAACAACTGACTTTGACCAAAACCAAACTTGATTAGCGTGATTTTACTTCCAACCAGGAAATTAAATATCTTTTGTAGTTTTAAAATAACAAAATATAATAATTATATATGCAATTCCAATAAGATTATAAGAATCACTCACATGTATACTCTCTGTGTGATTGATTTTTTATTCACCATACATCGTGACATAAATCAAAATAAAATTAAAAAAAACTCAACAGTACATTACGCGGTCGATTTAATTACAGTCCCTTTTAATTAATAGTCAGACAATGCAAACATAATTACATATTTTCTTATACATTCGTCTTTGGTTGAGGTAGGTAGCATTTTTGATAGTCGGAATTTACCAGACCACCAGTCACTGCAATCACTTTATATATTTTTAAAAATATAATTTCATCTCTCACCCTGATCTTCGCCATGGCGAACGGTGCGAAGGTCAGGATCCGCGCCTACATTAAAGTGCACCATAGCAATATTATTTGCATCACACGATAGACACGCAGGCCCACGCTACGCAAAATAAAGAGTCGTTATCAAACACTCATGTATATGATGATAATAATATGTCATTTTAATAACGACGAATTGTACAACGTACAGTAGTAGAACAGAGGTAGGGGCAGTCGCTCACAGTATAGTCATATAATGTACTGTGCTGACCTAAAAGCTTATCTAACATAAGGATATATTTTAAACAAAATATCATACCCATAATACATGCATCCAAATGATGCATTAACATCAAAGATAATAAATAGCAGAAGATAGAGCAGCTTCGGTATTGTGGGTACACGGAGAGCAATTTTACCTCATCCGCGCGGCGGCGCTATATAGAAATAATAAACAGAGCCGTAGATAGAGAGAGTTTGGCCAACTTGGCGCATGGGCGCCATGTTGTCACCAAACAGCGTGCGCGCGTATAGCTTTATAACATTTTATAAAACACTGATGCTGCATCATGAACTTTCTTTCATTATTCTGTTCATGAGGACAATCCAATTATGGGATTTTAACATATCATTGTAAATATCATATACTGTATAATCATATTTACCTAACTTTGGAATTAATTAATCAGTGACGTGCTGTATTATTTCGAGAAGATAAAGTGAGGACGATTCTTTATTTTTTTTCTCGTTACGATTATCTTTTTGTTTTGAAAGTATCATATGGGCCTACCCTAGGCCTATACCTAGTTGCTAGCAGCCTATACTCTATATAGCAAGAGGCTCCTAAGAGGCAACATGCAGAGGAGAAAGGTTGGTTGTGCAGACAGAGTAGGTTTGTGAATCGTCGGCGATAATATGTTAATTTCGCCTGTAAATGAATGATAAAAATATTAATACATGAAAGTTTTTTAATTGTATCTAGGCCTCTAGGCCTATGGCTCCGTAAACTTTAATTTATGAAATAAAATATGCTGGTCATCTTCAAACCAACAAATAGCCTAGGCCTATTTGTAAATTGTAATCTAAACAATAAATCAAAGTTGAAGAATTATTTCATTGAGAGAAATTTTTGTACAACATATGCCTAATCATTCATAATCAAGAAGC